GAGTTCAACCTGCTTCCTTTGACCTTGATTTACCACTGTTATGTCTTGTTAAGGTGCTTTAAGGTTGTTAAAATCACAATCTCTCTGTGACACTACATCACTCACAGTAGCCTGTACATATTCTGTATCAGCTTGTTCCAGCTGCTGAAGCTATAGTGAAATGATAATATAAGGGTTCAAGGCTCCACCTCATAGAAAACATAGAAAAAGGCTCTCGTGCAGTTATGGGCACTATTTTCATATTTGGCATCTCTAGGGACTTCTGCTAGAATTTGAAGATCGGTGACTTTGAACAACATGAGCTGCTGCTGGTTAAAGGCTTTTTCACATCACGTGATCAGCTGCTTATAAAAATCATTTGTTATACAGACTTATTTTACATGTTAACTATTGGTTTTACTGTACATTTACTTAAATACAGTTTTGAGGTACTACTTGACTGCACTCCATTCTCTGTTGTGCTACACTCCTACATTTCAAAGGGGTGTATTCTACTGATTTTACAATTTGACAGGTTAAGTTTATAGATAAAAGTTTTGTATACAAAACATGATCTGATATGAAATATGCTACATTGATATAGATGAAGTACTAAGAGTATAAACTACACTCTACTGTCACGGACTGCAAAATTAAAATGCTGCTCACACGATAATGCAGCAGTAATTATAACCCAATAATATCTAATAGTATAACACTCACAGGGGCCATTTTTTACAATTATGAATAATTGCTGACTTTAAGTTCATTTTCCTGATATTTACTGTGCAAATATTTTACTTGTGATTGAGTGTTTTAATCTTGCATTATTGCAAATACTTATAAATGAGCGGAATACTAATGTTATTTGTTTTTGCTTGTAGATAACATTCCTTTTATTGCATTTTACACTGATGGAATCTCATTTAATGCTTGTTTTCCATGTGGGATGAGTAAGATTTAACTTTTTTTTTCATACATGCAATAGCAACATCTCTTACCAGAGCCAACATCCCTGAGTCTGGATAATTCAGTTGTCAGAGCTATATTCTAATCTGTTTGAGGATTAGCACGACAAAGTGTACCTCCATTGTTTTTGACAGAGGCACAAATGCCAGATACAGATGTATTAAAAAACCAATGTCTGCATGGCTTGATACCGCCAAGGCAGAAAGATCATGCTGTGAACTGACCCTTTAAGATCTGTGACTAACTATTAAAGGCTCAGGAAATGCAGCCAGATACATTTCCAATAATAACACACTTCTCATTAGTCCTCACCCAGTCAGAGATGTTATTTTCCCAACTTTATTAGAATTCAGAGTCAGGATCACATAAGGCTTGGAAGGGATGTGTGTGTGTGTGTGTGTGTGTGTGTGTGTGTGTGTGTGTACGCGCTCTCTGTGAGAGTACCAGCTGATTTACTCGCCTCCTCTTCCTCTCGCTAATTGACCAACGACGTTCATGCACACATTTCTCACTAATTTCACATTTGCTATTCCAGTAGTGGCCTACACGTCTCGAGGAATACATCTCAGCCTCAGCAGCAACTGCAGAGTCCATCAACGACCCCCCCCCCCCCATCTCACACGCACATACACGCACGCACACACACACCAACTCAGTAACAAATTAGCTGTTTTGCTTGATAATTTGCACAAAGTCTTTGCGCTATTACGCGCAAACATGCCCGCAGAGTAGGTTTTACGCAAAATCTGATGGAGAGAAATTGTCAAACTGGAAACACACTAGCACGTGCACGGTATTCATAGGATACAACACATTAAAAGACTCCAGAAGCACACGCACGCACGAGCGCACACATGGTTGTATACAACGCGCTACGAATGCACGCGTAAAAACGCTTGCACATAAACACGCGCACACACACATTCACACGCACGCAGCAGCAGCGCATTAGAAAACTCCAAAGTCATCCAGTTTGCTCTAATCATTACAATTAGTCGTGAATTATCACCGGACTCTGACAGACGTTCCTTGTAACTCTCTTTTATTTCCACCCCGCGCTAATCAGCGGCTCTCATTACAAACGCTGATTAAACTGCAAATTACCCAGCAGCGGCCCCGTCCGCGCCTACCACAGCCCCGCTCAATATCAATTAAGTCCAGCAGCCCGTCTGGAGTCTCACGGCGCTTCCAAATGCTTGATAGTGCCACTTATTAGTTTGGAAAACTCGGAAAATACCAATAATCAACGGCCATGAAGCTGCAGGAGAAAAGAGCCCAGGGTTTCCTCTGAGCTTTGCTCCTTCAGTATATAGGATTTCTCTGATGCTGCCATGCATGCAGACCTCCATCACTCTTTATCCACGTCCACTGTGGGGAAGAAAAACATATATTGGACAAGTGGTGGGGTGGTGGTTTTTGAAATAATGCCTTGCATTAATGCAGGGTAAACCTTAAATCTAACATCATTAGACGGTTCCGGTTGCAGAGAGGTTCCTACCCTCCCATGTCAAACTATTCAGTCCTGGAATGATGTAAATTAAGCTCAAACACAAGTCAGCAGAATGTATTCAAAAAATACTCACTTATTTCTTATTCACCATTTAACTGGTATAGAGTAAAATACAGTATACTGAATTATGACTGGATCGTTCTCCCATTAACAGTAGCACCATTTGTAAAAGTTAATTCTTTTAGCTGTTGCTGGGGTCACCAGGAAACAGTTTTGTAATTTAAAACTGGGTGTTTGGTTTACAAAGGGAAAACACCCAGTTTTAAATTACACAAACATGCATCATTTTCATTTATTATCAACTTCTTCAAATTTCTATTGAATTGTGGTATCAATTTAATTTCATCATCGTCCTACAAATACACATAGACATCATAAAGCTGTTGACATTATGTTTATTTACCTTGATAAAAGTGCAGATTATTCACTTTTCCATGTTTCCTCCAACAAACCAACAATCCTGTGACATATCATTTATTTAATATTAGGTGTATTGTGTAACCTAGTCTATTCTGTATGATTTTACTAAAATGTAGAACAGTTACATGTATTTTCAGAGATTTAGCAAATATATCCTGCATATGTTTTTTATATTTTATTCTATTTGGAACTTTAAGTGGACAAAAATACACCAAGTAGTCTGTCCAAAGACAGAGATTAAAAATAACAACAGCACCACTGTAGTCCAGTAGATTTCAATGAACGTCACTTGACCCCCTTGACCTCTCTGAATGGCACGCGAAGGGTCATATTATGATTATTTTTTACCTCATCTTTTTCTTTTGCCAGTGTCAATGTTGTGTTCATCAACCTCGAAGTGCTAAAGGAGATTTTGTCCCACATTCTGACAGTGACATCATCATCAAGGACAAGAGAAGGTGTGAATTCTGCTGCATGTAACATCTGCTCTGCTAATCAGCTGTAGGTTTTGTTTCTATGATAAGTTGTGAAGAACAATTTAGACCTTTAAGTTCTGTTTTTAGCACACCGTAGGGCAATTAGTACATTTTCTTTATGAAAAAAAGTTGTTAAATAAGTCTGTAATGCAGAAATTTGACAAACTTTTAAATGTTTTGGTGGAAGATGATGATAAAATACATATCAGTATAGACATATATATTTATATATATATATATATATATTTCTTTTACACAAGTAGCCTTGAAGAATACTATGAAATTTATTATTTTTCCACAGATCACATGGATCAATATCAGATGCACAAAGATTCAAATGATATTGAATGTGCTGTATTTGTAACACAGCTTCATGAGCCATGTCAATTGTTAATCTTAAGTGATATATTGTGCGAATGAAGGAATTGGCTTATTCAACGTCTTATAAAACCTAATCTCACACAGTGTCAAATATGTATCTGTAGATAGAGTTTGATGTTTGTTCAAACTAAAAGTGAAATCACAACATTTATACAGAAATGAATGAATACGCTGACCTACATATGGATCGGCCTTACATTTAGATCTAACAAATGTAGATGGTGTGAGAGGTTCACCAGCAGAGTAGACCCTGGTGTAACCTGTGATTTAATTGTCCAGTCAACAGCAATGCAAAGAGCATAGCTGTTTCATTTTGGGGCTCTTCGACAGTGTCATCATGGAAAACTGACTTTAGATCAGTTTGACACTATTGAGCAGCTGAGAGTGTTTTGATGTTTTCTCATGGGATGATCAGACTGGTAACAAAGGCAAAACCACTTGTTATTCAACACTCTTAACAGAACATGTACTACAGGTACTGACAGATAAATGCAAAAATTATATTGACTATGTAGGATGGTCTGGAACGTTTATTCATGCCTATTGCACGAGACAATTTAATTGCTTAAGATGTACTGTTTACCACGAAGTAAAAGTAAAGGGAATTCCAACTTATAGAACTTGGTCGTCAATTTTTTTTTAAAATCTTGTTAATATATTCACCCCTATACAGGACTTTTTAACAACACTGAGCAGCTCCTTCAGTGACTCCTTCACCCCTGCTGCTGTCAGACTGTACAACAAGCACTGCACCCAGTAGACCACCATACACACTCTCTTTCTCTCTCTCTCTCTCACTCACACTTGCACGCACGCACACACACACACACACACACAGAACCTCATCATGTACAACCAATGCAGAAAAATCTAAGAGCAATTTATATATATAGTACATATATAGTAATTTATCTTAAACGTATCTTTACTTTATATTCTTCACTTTTCATGCTTGTTAATGATCTTGCTGTTGCAAAGTTGTTTACAATAATGTGCTTCATTATTTTTGATTTATGCTTTATATTTTAATTTTTTTACTCCACTACATCTGTCGGACATTACATAGTTACTATAGTTCCTTTGCAGCTTTAGATTTCTACTTTATAAAATGGAGCCTCACACTACACAGCAACACAATGAAAATGCATTATTGACAATACTGAATGCAGAAATAGAACAAATCTAAACATTTCTTTTATTTTTCTCTTCCAAATACTGTAAATGTTAATAAACGTGTCTCAGTCTCCAAAGTGTTCCACTGCACCTCTGTCATGCTGATCGAGCGCTCGATAATCCTCTGCTCCATGTATCTGCGATCATCTCGTCAGCACTGACTTCCGGCCGCACTTCCTCTACTCCACATCTCTACAGAGCAACAACATCCCCCACAGTCATGGCAGACCCGAGAATACGACAGATTAAGATCAAAACTGGCATCGTTAAGCGGTGAGTCTGGTTCTGATTATAATGGCGTGTTAAAAAAAACCAAAAACCTTGCGTCACCCGAGCTAGTTAGCTTAGCCTGGCGGAACTGCCGGCTCGGCATGAAGCCACGCCGCGCATGGGAGGCTGTTAGCCGCCGAGCTTTTAACTTGACTCCGGTGTTTTGCCGGGGCCTGTGGTCATTGAGGTGATGTGGAAGCAGTGTTCGTTTTCCACGGAGCTACATTTGATTGTGGTTTGACGGTGACCACATGATTTATCTGGTGCGACACTGTCAGACCGTCATAATCTCAAAGATGGCGTAAATTAGGGGGATGGGTTTAATGTAGCGGTGGCTAAAGTTGGTCGACTCATGCTAGCTGTCTGCTAGCTAGCTAACATGTTGCTAAGAACAAGTGGAATTTGTGGCTCTTGTGAATCTATTCCCCCTCCGTCATTTACACTCATGCACAAGGTCCCTCATAACAAAGGTGGGATACATTTTGTTATTATGACCTCACATTTGCAAACACAAAATAAACCATCGCCACATTTCCTAGATTTACTGCCATATCATTAATTAAGTCCTGTCAAATTGTTCTTTTATTCAATCTTCAAATAGAGATACTTTTCAGAGTGAACTGATGGAGCTGTGGGGTGACGTAGGGAATATATTATCTGCACTGAAAGGAAACAACAACAGGGAGGTGTTCAATGTTTCCAGAAGGATTTTGTTCTTTGTGTGAAACTACCACACATCACATGGTTTACTGTCACAGTACACTGCAGAAGATTCAGGCAGTGGAATAAAGTGAGGGCGCTGTCACTGTTTTTATTCATCAATGTTTCAATCACACCCAATCTAGTCATTAGTGAGTGTGACGTTTGACATTGAAATCAGCTCTGACTCTCCTCTGGACAGCAGCACACGGCTTTTCATGGTACTCAGCAGGTGGGTTGTTCCCAGCATCTTGGAGAACTTGCATCAGTTCCTCTTGCAGTGTTGGTGTCCAGTAATATGATCCCAGACTAACTTTGTGATATTGATATCAGTCCCCTGTGGGAGGTGGACAATTTAGTACAGGACTCCTTGTCACTTCAGTGATGGTATTGTGTGTTAAATGACAATCTTAAGTGCTTAAAGTCCTATACTGTGCTTAAAGTCCTATAGAGGACATCATAAGAATGAATTATAAGTCGTTGAATAAAAAACTCCACTCCTGTGGACACAGGATACATCTACACAGTTCAACGCAGTCAATTTGTTTTGTGCAGTTTTTTTTGATATTGACCATTGACATGTCTGCATAATATTCTTACCCTTTCATGCTTGCTAACATTGTCATGTTTCTCAACATCGCTGCAATCACAACTTTAATTATAAGCATTTACAGAAGTTACATAAATACCCCTATGATTGGGCCATTATCAGTCTTTTATACAATAGTCATGACATACTAAAATTGGAATTTGTGGTAAACTCAACACAGCATACGAATGAATTCCAGCAAGCTACATTTATATAATCATAAGCTAGGACACAATAAACTTGCTATGAAATGATGTTATCATCTGGAAACCGTACAATCATCCTTATTTCAGAATGTGAAAAATATAATAATATAATTTTTTTTCTGATTTAGATGTTTACGCTATTTACATTTTTCGGGCAAGATACTGAACCCCTAAATCGCCCCTCCCTGAAGACTGTGTCAGCAGTGTAGAAGAAGTGCTTTATAAATTTAGTCTATTTACTCAGCATTTATGGAGAGCAGTTTTATGTCCATTTTATTCACTTTGGTCTTGCTCTTCATTGTTTTTTTTTGCTTGTGATGGATGTTGCTGGTAAAAAATACTCGGGGTGCTGTGGCTGAGGGGGTAGAGCGGGCATCCTCTAACCAGAAGGGTGGCGGTTTGGTCCCAGTCTTCCCCATTCTTCAAGATATACTGAAACTGAAAATTGCCCTTTGCAGTGCTTTGAGTGGTCCTCAAGACTAGAAAACCTCTATATTAGTACTTTGGCCCAAGACAAATTTCCCTGTGTCACAATAAAGTATATTTGATTTTCTATAAATACAGACCACACCTATACTGTCTCAATTTTTGTCTTTTGTCAAAATAGGAAAATTTACTCTTGCTGTATAAATTCATATTAAATATTAACCAAGCATGGACAAGTCTATTACTATGACACAAAGGCCTTTTGATGTAGGAGTGAGCTCATCATCCAATTTAAGTCAGTCTATTAATAGTGCTTGCATCTATTTGGAGTTTACATCTGAATGTGGAGAACAATCGTAGCTATCATGAGGTGTGGTTGAGGTCCCTGGCTCAGTGTAGTGGTGTGTGTGGTGGTCTGGGTGTGTCTCTCGTCGATCAGGCAGACCTCTAATTCCCTCCTGTCAATGGCGTTTGTGTTATGTGCTATCGATTGTGTTTTGATGAGGGTCAGATTGCTAACAGGCTCCCTGAGGTGGTAATGATGGAGGCTGGATTTCCCACAGCGGATAATGTCACACAGTGTCCAGTGTAGGCATGACAACAGTGCAGTAGTGCAGTAACCGTGTACCTCATCAGAACTGTCCCTAACTACTGCACTGATGTCTCTGAGAATACTCTTTGGACATAAGGCGAGAGTTATTACATCTCACCTCCTCCAGGCCTAAAGTGCTGCCATGACACGGACCCTTAATCAAGCTGTTAGGTTTAAATGTACAGACTGCCTTTGCTTTCTGTCTCTTCATAATCTAGCGTTCCTCCCAGTCAGTCTCTTTCTCCCGTGCCTCTCTCGTTTTTTTTTATTCCACTTGCCTTCCTCAGTCCCTCCTCCCTTTTTAGATATTGGAGTTTAGAGGAAACCTGCCTGCTCTTTTAGCCTGGCCTATTTCCAGTGGCTTTTGCACATTCCAGTCAGTGCCTTTCTGCCCTAGCGAGGCGGATGCCCTTAATAAAATGACAACAGTAATTTGCCTTTGTCATTCCGGTCCCAGCACAGACTACATCGTGGCTCAAAAATACAGTGCTAGAGGAGGCGGCCAAGTGGTGTGTGTGTGCGTGTGTGTCGGCTCACTCTAATTCCTTTTTTTCTATTTTCCAGAGAGCTGCCTTTTCCATTAAGCCTGAGGTGGCAGGTCTATTTAAAACCAGCCACGACCCCACCCCTCATTCACACAGTGCTCCAAGTCTGGGAGAAATAAGAAATTAACATCAGGACTGGAAGGGGAGGAATGGACATTTTGTTATTAGACTGTCCTTCAGTTTTATTCAAATTATTCCAGCCCTCCTTCCTCCATCTTTTCCCTTCTCTTTGCCACCTCCTTTTACTCTAAACAGACGACATCACTCATTCTGCATCAAGCACGAGAGTGGAAGGCACGAGCTGCCGCTGCATATGGTGCCTGTTTAAAAGCTTCTTGATGGAACTGTATTAGAATCCGTGGTAATTGATGTAAAATATGACAGAGTGCTGTTGGCTTCCTTGGCTAAGCAAGGAGCAGTGCAACACGGAGGGAAGGGTCTCCAGTAATTTGACTGATTAATGAAGGATCACTCACTTATGCACACGCAGCTGATTTTATGAAAAATGAAATTTGTGTTGTCATTCCAATAAGCAGGCACAGCCGGAAAAAGACTATTAGCTGGGAATTATTATCAATAGCGATATTTTCAAACTCCATTATGCCAATCAGGGTCGGAATCTGTTTAATAGATTTTGTTCCATTTGGCCCGTAATTGATAAATAATCAAAATTTATCAATGTACTCAAGCCCATTTTCACTAACAATCAAGGAAAAGAGGCCCATTTACCACCTGACTTGGTTCAAATTAGGGACTAAATTGATGATCAATTAATCTCTAAAAAGGACTAGTAGGGTGTGTGTCTTTGTGTCTGTGTGTCTTTGTGTGTGTGTGTTGGAGGTGGATATAGGAGTCAGATAAGCGTAGTGATAAGGCGCGAGCTGGAAGGCATTACAAAGTTAACAAGGACAGCAAGAGGTCTTGTATTTTGTGGCTGCTGCTGATTTTCTTTATTTTGAAACTGTTGCTGAAAATGAGGACATTTTTTAATTGGTGCTTATTTTAGATTTATATAGGCAACAGTAAAGGAATTCACTTGTTTTTTTTCCCCCAGTAAGAATTATCAATCAAAATGTTTGTTAAATGACTGTGATCGAACTCATTCAATGGAAGTTTGCTTATTTGTAACTTGTATCCATGCAAAGTCTTGCCTTGCATATTTTTGAAGAGCGATTTAACAGGCGCGTAGATGTATCGAAATGCAATAAATACTTTTACATTGCGAAATTATAAGCATGTATTTGCCTTTGCGCAATATTTAATAATTAATATCTCACACTGAATTGTAATTTCTAACATGCTTATTATTATTGTAGTGTGACAACTCTCCTAAATCGTTCACATTTAAAAAGCTTGTTGATTTTAATTCAGCTCCACAAATCTCATTCCCAGTTCTTTTTATACGATTCTAAAATGAATCTTTTGGTTTTAACTGCTGGCACACAAAACAAGCATGATCATGTCAAATGGGCTTTTTTGAGAATGATAATACCATACCATAGATTATTGTAAGTGGTCTGTATTTATATAGAGCTTTTCTAGTCTTGATGACCACTCAAAGCTCTTTACAGTACAGTTTTTTTTCCATTGACCCATTCACACACATTACTACAGTGCATATGGGCAGCACTTTTTCTATGAGCAGCCATCAGAGGCTATCTAGGGTTCAGTATCTTGCCCAAGAACACTTCAGCATACAGAATGGGGAAGATGAGATCGAACCACCAACCTTTTGTCACCTGATCCAAATACTGTATTAAAAGAGTCAATTAAAATATGTTATTAAACCATGTAAAGCTCTCCTGTGGTACACGGTGATCTATTAAACTCAAGAGGATTGTTGAATGTTTTTACATTTGACTTTGATTTATCAGTTGGACACAAACAACACTCAAATTACCAATAATTTTGGTGAATTTAATGTGTAAATAAGCCAATTTTTGCTACAATTATTGCCAACTAAAAAGTATTAATATTAAACTTTGCTCACAACTTGTTTCTGCTGCCCCCAGTTATTCCAGGTTTGTTGTTTGAAGCAATATCTTTAGGCAGAATATTTTAGAGGATCACACAGATGCTTCTGATCTCACAGACCTTTATAAATCCTTGTATTTTGTAATTATAGCACATGAATCATTGTGTCTTGAGTAAGAATCTTATCCCGCAGCTGCATTTGAACAGTATTCTTGTAATACTGAGTGTTTGTTCCGGCTGTAAAACACCTTTCATTCAAGCGCATCCTGTCCTGAGTTGGTTTTAGATCACGGTATGAATAATAATAGGTTTCATATGAAAGCATAAATTGAGGCTGATCTCCACATGGTGCTGTGTGAGGCCCTGCAGGAGTGAGGAGGAATGATGTGTTCGCTGGTTGTTACTGAGGTGTGTATCTTGCCATCCTGCGGGAGATGATCTCACTGTGTCCCCTCAGTCAGAGTAACGCAGGAGAGAATGAGGATAGATGGCCTCGTCTGTAAAAGGTGACCATCACAGCCTGTCTTTTTTTTCATGGTTCAGCCTATATTATCCGTCTGAGAGGCTGTGCATTTATGTTTCATGTTTGATGGAACAACAACTGTGTCACTGCCTTTAACTATGAACTGTGTTTTCCTCTCTTCCCGTCCTCTGCAGGCTGGCGAAAGAGAAGGTTTCGTACATAAACGAGGCAAAAAAGCAAGAAGAGAAGGTTAAGTCACTGAAAGCAGATGGGGGAGATGAGTATGTAATCAAGAAACAGGTATGTGGGTCCTTTACTTCTATCTGTTACTTCACTTATTTGATGTTTTTGCACGTCTTAATTTGAAAGCTTAGTTTTTATCACCAACTGTTATGATCCTCTCGTAAGCCAAGAGGTATTTTTCACTCTTCCACTGTTAGAAGGCAAATTGTATCTCGATGATTTGAGTAACCCCTCATTCATGTAATGAGGTCAGTCCACAGTGATAATGAAGAATTAGGTTTTGAGAGGACAATCATTAGTGATTTTGTAATTTGCTTGATGCAGATGTAATTATATCATGTTACTTTAGAGGAGTTTGATAATTACTGACACATGCTGGCTATTTAGTGTCCCTAACAGATCGCTGGCCCATATCCTGTTCTCCATTCTCTGTCACTTTGCCTGCAGCCCTCCATCATATGCGTGTTCTCTGCAGATAGCAGTTTAGAGCGTTTATGGAGAATTTTAAATTTAAAGAGAAAAGCCAAAGACAGGGTCATTGATTAACACAGTCAGATACACGGGAACAGATCATTACACAGGGATTCGGGCCAAAAAGGTGAAATTCAGAAGAATGCCAAACAAAATGCATTAATCAGTGTGTCCAGAGAATAACAATCACAGTATGTTAAGCCAGGCTCCCAGTGTGGCTCTATGGATGACAATGTTTGTCCCTCACTCTTTCTGTGTCAACAGCTGTGGGATAGAATGCAATGCAATTCTGTGCAGATGTTTATGAGAGATGATGTGTTATGACTTTGGTGATCCTGTTTTTTTTTTTTTTTTATGTAATGCCATCAAGCGGTTGACATTTGTAGTTTTGTGTGAAATGTCTCTGTGCCTATTGGATGCATTGTCACAAATACCTGCAGATCTAAGCACGTTGACATTAGCAATTAGCTCAAATCACCTCTTCACAAATTACCCCTCTCACAACGGACAAAAAACTGCCCACACACACTATTATCTTGCGCTTATGAAAAGTTCGAATCAGCAGAGATAGAAACATGACAAACAGATGGAAGCGCACATTTTCTGTGCTGAGATGTCTATCATCACAGACGTGTCACCTGTGCAGCACAGTGCTGTTAAACCAGAAACACTGCAGCTAAATCTTATTTCTGACTGCACACAGCTTGACACAGCTAAGAGCTGCTAGCAGTGCTAACTAGCTGTTGGCCCCCATGCTTGCGTGCTGCTAGTGTGCTATGCACAAGCCTGTAAGAGTGAGCACTGCTTTGAAATAAGTTTAACTCTCACGGAGGCGACAGAAGCACCAACATGCTGGTGAGACCCAACTGATCCCTCCATCCATCCATCATCTACACTGCTTTTCCTTTGAGGTGTTGCCTGGGGATCTGGAGCCAATCCAATCTGACATTGATTCATTTTAGTAGTTTGATTTAAGATTCACAGAAGAGATGGAAAGGACATCCATGTTTTTCTCTAGTTAAAGCTGGAAGATAAAGACAGCAATGTCTATGAAAATAGCTCAAATAAGCGGCTACTCCGAAGCATATGATAAATGTTGTCACTTGCAACTATAAAGATCTTCAGCAAGCAGATAATGCATATATACATTTCTAAATTACAAATATCACTTAAGGGAAAGAAATGAAAAACAATTAATTAACTTAATAAGTGCCAAATTGTACCTGTAAAACGCTGACTTTATGGACAGTAACAAAATAAGTGTGTCCACCATTAGTTAACTACACTTCCTGCAGCAGTACGCTGTCCCAGTTCATTTGGATTTCTCTTTTACATATTTCAGTCTGTTGTGCAGACACCACTTCTGACTATGTCTACTGGTGACATTAAAATTCAGCCTGTGTTTTGTTTTGTTTGTTCATTCCCAGAGCGGCGGCTCGGGCTGAGCAGCCGGCTTGGCTGGTGTTAAATGGGGGAGTTTGGGAGGCCAGATGGATTATGGTTGGAGATGAGAGGTCTGAGGCAGGATGGATTAGAGGTTTTTCTTTTAATGGAATCAATACACTGTAAGTGTCATCTTTATCCAGCGCTGATGGGATCATTCCACCGCACTGGGAGGGCACCGTGACTTTTCTCTGTTTGAGCTCTCCTCTGCTTAGGCTGGCTCACCTTGTCACATCTACATGGCAACCGACTCGACTAGTTGTCTACCGTGTTGCAGTATGTCAGTCTGCTAGCCTGCCTGTGCACAAGTTCATCTGAGCGCCTGTGACTGTGCATAGCCGTGTAATGTACCTGTGTGTAACTGAGTCCATGTTTTGACTCTCCAGCTCGACAGAGGGCTAGGTGAGGAAGCATCTGTCATGAGTAAGTGTGTCTGACAGCGTTAGCCAACTCTTCTCTGCTCTTTAGGGTGCCAGCCAGGGGAATTCCACATTAGCCGCGACTGTGAAAGTTCCCCAGGCTATAACGCAGTTTCACTCCAGGCGTAGTAATACCTGTTTACGCCTGATCACAGTGCCCTCGGCTCAGGGTTTCTTCATTCATTCAGGTGTGCAGTCAGATCGAGGTTGTCCCCTGCTGCCCAACTCCCTGCCCAATCGATAACTCAATAACATTTTTCATACTGCCGGCTTGTTGGGAGATGTTAACCACAGCGGCGTGTATGTGGGACACCCTGCACGCTACTGTCGGAAACCAGGCAACAGCCAATGAATATTCCTGTGTCTGGCTGTTTATAATGAATTTCATAAACTTAGAGAGAAAACATGTTCAATAAAGTGTTGATTATTGTGAAGACTGGTAATGAAAAACAAAATGGGGATGATGTGGTCTCTTGTGTGGTTTCAGGTGGAGGTGCTGCAGGAGTCCAAAATGATGGTCCCAGATTGTCACCGCCGACTGGCCAAAGCACACGAAGATCTGAACCAGTTGATTGTGAGTATGCAATGATATGATCATTGAATGGAAACGTGAAAAACATTTTTCATCTCACAAAATGAAAATACTGTTGTGATGAATCTGTCAATCCATTTTTGTTTCTATTAATTTTACAAATTAAACTACAACTCTAAAGATTTGCTCTTTGCCATCAAGTGGTGCTTGATTTAGTTCTTATTCCAGAACATGGAGATAGGATGTAGTTACAGAGAAACATTACTCCACATTTGAACGGATAAAAATGTAACAACAGGCAAAGTAAAGAAAGGAAAATATTTCATTATATAAGAGGTATATGAGGTAAACTCTGACATTTATAAACTTTTTAAAACACTGTACATACCAATTGATACTCCAAACTCAAATAGTCTGTTTGTCCCTATTGGTATTTTACCATAGAGATGTTTATGCCACCACAGACTCATGCTTTTCACCCAAATACACTGTAGCTGACTGGGAGATGTGGAGCACAAAAAAAGATAAAAACTGTCTTTGGTAAAACATAATGGCAACAAGGATGGAGTTTTTATTTTCCTCTGTGATCTAATGTTATTTTTACAAATTTAACAAATTAGATACAATTACCAAACAACAAAACAACTATAAACTACGGTAATCAACTATCAAACTTAAACAGTGGACTTTTGCCAGCTGAACCATTGTAGGACAATGGAATTCACCACTTATTGTATCACATATTTTATCACCGCTCTGTCACATTCAGGAACACTGGAGGGGCAAATGTTTCCGTTTTCCTGTTCCTTACTAGTTGTCTGTGTTGTAGCCATAGAATCTAAACGGAAAAAACACAATGGGAATAGTATTTCCCTTTCTGTAAAAAATGTAGCATATTTGATATTTGGTTGACAGATTCTAAAGGTTCACTGGATACCGTGTAACCCCAGTCAAGGGCTTAAGAATCAGAAATTTCAATTTAGTTTATCAACTTGGATCTTTTAAGCCGCTCCGCCATGCTCATACCAGAGCTGCAGGCAGAGGGAGCTAACCTGCAATTAGCAACATGACCTCATCCCAGTCACTCATCCTCCTTTTTTTTCGTCTTTAAGACAGACGTGCATATGCACATGCTCGTCACAGTTCATTAACAGCGCTGTCTCCGTGGTGACCACCACACAAACCCACACACACTTGATTAAAGGACATAAACGCCATACAGTCACCTTAACACCTGGTCTATCCCTTTACTGCTAAATTTAGATTCCAGTAACATGACATTGAGTCAATGAAGTGACATCCAAACAGGTTTGGTGGAATATTTTTTTCACATTGAGTCACTCAAAAAAAGTCTGAGATGTGGAGTTATCCCTCAGAAGCCAGCTGTAATTCCTCATTATGGCTGCAGGAGATGGCAGTGTTTTCTAAACTGGCAATAAAACAGCTGTGTGTCTGTGTGTGTTTGTTTCTTCTCAGGAAACAGAAGAGGATTTGGCCGAATCGGAGGAGTACAAAGAGGCTCGGAACGTGTTGGACTCAGTGGAGCTTGAAGGATGATTTCTGATGTGTTTCTTGTTCTCACTGTGAGATTCACTTCTTTCGTTAATGTTCATTCCCCTCGTCAGATCATGGAGGCAAACTGAATCCATTCAAAGTCTCTGTTGATGCTATTATTTCTACTGTTGACTTTTGCCTTCCATGTGCAAAATCCCACATTTTACCATAAAACTTCAAGGAAGTTTTTTTTTTTT